GATAAGAACTTTTAAGACTGATACAAAATAAGTTGATTATTACATCTTTAAATTGAATAGGCTTTCTTTTGATTCCACCCCTCACAAAGGTGTTTTACCTTGTAGATTCTCAAGGAATAGGGTGTAGATGGATATTGAAGAGCTCAGAATGCTATCAGCTCTTTCCTAAAGACTGAAATCATCACTGGCTTAGTTCAGATGAAGGATCCCTGGTGATTCCGAAGTTAAGCCCCTCAGTTGCTAATGACAAGATGAACTGTTCGAACCCACCGAGTCACTCCCTGGGAAGATGTGATCGTCTGCTTTCGCAAAGATTCCAAACCAAAGATTACAGCCTTGGAAACCCTAGATAGCAGTTCTGCTCTGTACTGTTGGGTCACTGTGAGTTGGAATTGACTTGACAGTAACAAGTTTTTTTTTTTAATTCAGTCTACCATACATCATATACCAGCAAAGAATATAGACAGAAGTGATCCATATTTAGCAATAGCTTAATCTACCCCTTACCAAGAAAAGAGGGATGTTGGAAAGCTTTAAAGATAGGATTTGTTGTTGTTGGAGGAGGCAGAGCATATGGTTGGGGAAAGGAGAAATTTAGAAATATTTTGGTACTTAAAAGTGTCAGAAGTCTAATTTTTTAAAAAACCTGTGATTTGGGTAAAAGTTTATAGAGCAAATTCATTTTCCATACAATATTTCATACACATTTTGTTTCATGACATTGATTGTAATCCCCATAATGTAACAGCTCTCTTCCCAGTTCCTCCCTATGGTTCCTTTTCTCTGCATCCTCCTTTCTCATGTATTCCTGCCCTCTGATCTATCTCCCTGTACAAATACTGCCCTTCTGATTTCCCATGGTTGATTGTTCTAAGGAGTGTACCTACCTAGTGTAGATGTTCACTTTATATGCCTGTCTGTTGTTTGGTTTGAAGCCATGGGAGTGAGTTCAATTAAAAATCTATTGATTTTGTGAACTGTAGACTTCTCTGAATAAAAATCACATATTCCATATACTAAATTTTGAATGCCTTTGAAAACTGTAGAAGTGGTCTTTTGAAAATGTCATTTGCCGGGGGACAAGGTTGTAGTCCATTCTTGGTCACAGCCAGCTACCAGACTGACCGAGTAGTTGAACTGGTGGGCTCGGGATCATAGTCTCAGGGGACATCAAGCTCAATTGGCATAACATACTACACAAAACATTGTTCCACCTCCTACTTTGGCGAGTAGTGGGGATCTTAAGAGCTTGCAAGCAGCCATCTAGATGCAATGATGGGTCTCTCCTCGTCCAGAGCAAAGAAGAATGAAGAAAACCAAAGATTCATGGAAAGAATTAGTCCCAGTGACTGGTACACCATGAGATCCACAGCCTATATGACTATGAGACCAGAATAACTAGATGGTGCCTGGCTACCACTGTCAACCACTTGGAGGGGATCTATGGAGGAGATCCTGGATAGAGTGGGAGAACAATGTGGAACAAAACTCAAAATCATTTGTGTGGGGGAAGGGGACCAGGTTTGCTGGTCTGGTAGAGCCTGGTGGAACCCCTGAGACTATGGCCCCTAGCTGCCCTTCAGGTCTGGAACTGAACCCATATTTGTGGCTTCCAGCCAAACAACAGACAGGCATATGAGTTGAACATTTACCTGAGGTAGATACTCCTTGGAGAGAACAATAATGGGAGAAAGCAGGCTGCTTATGCACAGGGAGTCAGCTCAGGGCAGGAGTACATGGAGGGATGGACACAGGGAAGGAGGTAACTGTCGGGAGGAAGTGGGAGGGGAGCATTGTGGTAAATTGTAGTCAATGTCATGAAACAAAGTGTATGTGAACTGTTGTATGGAAAGTGAATTTGCTCTGTAAATTTTTACCCAAATCACAATAAAAATAAAAAAATAGATAAGGAAAAAAAGAAAATGTGAGTTGCTATGTTCTTTCAGATGTTCTAAAACACAAACCAGACAGAGTAACCTGACATTTTTGTAGTATGGCACAATTCATCAAAATCAGGCAGTTTCCCCTTAATAGATAAACACAACAGAAAGTGACAAATGCTAACAGTGAAGTAGCATAAAATAGTACTTTATTCCATCATCTGCATATATACCTGTTAGAAAATTTGAAAGACCATACAGGCATACCTTGATTTATTGTGCTTCACAGATACAGCGTTGTTTACAAATTGAAGATTTGTGGCAATGCTGTGTTGATCAAGTCTATTGGCACCATTTTCCAACAGCATGAATTCACTTCATTTCTCTGTCACATTTTGTTAATTCTTACAATATTTCAAACTTTTTCATAATGTTGTTGCATATAATGGAGTGTGATTAAAAACAAAAACCCAAACCCACTGCTGTCAAATTGATTCCAACTCATAGCAACCCCCATTGAATTTCCAAGGCTACAAATCTTTACGGAGTAGACTGCTTCATCTTCCTCCCACAGAATAGCTTGTGGGTTTGAACTACTGACGTTCTGGTTAACAGATACCTTAGGCACTGCGCCACCAGAGCTCCCCAATATAGTATAAACATAGCTTTTATATGTACTGAAAAACCAAAAAATTTGTGTGACTTGGCTTTATTGCGGTATTCACTTTATCGCGGTGTCTGGAACTGCACCCACGATACAGGCATGCTTGTATTATCCTGGGTCAGTTGGTAATTTTCTTCTTGGGTTTGGTTTTGGCATTATTATTTTGGGGATTTGTCTAAGTTTCCTAATGCCGCTGTAACAGAAATACTACAAGTGAGTGACTTTAAAGAAAAAATTTATTTTCTCACAGTTCAGGGTCCAGAAGTCTAAATTCAGTGTACCAATTGTAGGGGGAGGCTCTCTCTGCTGGCTCTGGGGGAAGATCCAAGTCTGTTTCAGCTTCTGTAGCCCTGACGTTCTTTGGTTTCTTGGTGGTCTTCATGTGGTATCTATCTTTCCCTGTTTGTACTTGCCTCTGTGTGTAATCTGCTCAAAAGTGATAAGGTTTAAGACAAGTGCACTGGTATGACCTTAACTGATTGATTGAACATTGGATCACATTAAAGAAGGTGACTACATTATACTGCATTAGATGACATCCACAGGGGTAGGGGTTAAGATTCTTACACATTTGTTTTGGGGAAGCCACATTGTCATTCATAACAGTGTTTATGGAATCAAAACTGAATTTGCTGAGTCTAGAGAAAGAGTGGTGCTGTGGATGGAGAATGGGAAGAAATGTAACTAAATCTAGCACAGTAGTAGCCCCTCATGTGCCACCATCTCACTGTCTTCTGTTCCATTATTATATAATGGGAGGAGGGACCATTAGTGATAACTAATATTAGGGTGCTGTTACAGAGCATTACAAGTAGAAATCTTACCGGTCTTGAAAGTCTGTATCACCACCAGTCTACCTTAACCTTATGTGTTCCTTGACTCTGGAATTTACTTTTTTCTTGGTCCCAAGAGGCTCATGAATGGTATCAGAAATTATGTGTGTGTGCGTGTGTGTGAAGGGAAGTTTGAGCCTTTCATGTACTGGCAAGAATATCTGGGCATAGGAAATTAAGTGCTCTGCATACATACAAACGATACTTTGACTTGTCCATGTTTTTAAAGAGCTGCTTTCAAACCCTAGTGAGAAGATGGCAGCTGACCTATACTTGTAATTCTGGGAAATGTTACAGTATGTGTCACCTTGTTAGCTGAGTATGCTCCTGTTAGCTAAGAAAATAGAGAAACAAACTGGTGGTCCACTCTTCTTGGTAGGTGTATTTGGTTTGGAAAAGAGTACTGGAAAAGGAAAGAAATTTCTATTCTTTGTCCCCTTACTCATTTTCTGCCTGTTGAAAGTAACTTGGAAGTTGGAAAAATGTAGAAATGCAAACCTGCAGCAGGGCTAATCAAAAGAGTTGTCTCCCAAGACCAGGCAGGAGCCAAAGGAAACATAAATCCAATCTGAAGGAAAAGTTAAAAATCACAGTTTGATATAAGTAAGGGGACAAGTGAAAGGCAAAATATAAATTAGTGGATTTCATTGTGTACCCACTTGAGAGTGCTCACTATGCTAGCGTGAAACCTGAGAGTTACTAAGAATAGCTTCATATCCAGGCAGTCAGGTCTGGAGTGTGGGATAGAGAACAGAATCCTGACTCAGATGCCATATTCCTTGTCCTGAATCCTGAGAAAGACTATCCTGTTTGTCTTATTCTTCGAGTAGTTAAGATTCATTGCTCCCCTTCACTAGGGAGCTTTGGAGATCACAGAGGCTTTTGGGAGCCCTTGGAAAGGATCTTTTTATTAGATTGGATTATATAGCTCAGAATTGTCCATCTCCCAGAAGAGTAGGACCTAGTCCATTCCCTTAAGTAAGTGTCTTTTTATTAAGTTTGGTTCCCAGCTTTGTTTGTTCAGTGCCAAGATTCTCCACTCAAGTGTAGAGGACAGAGTATAAGTTAAAAGTGAAGCCAGAGTTGCCTTATGTTGGTTTTACCTTGTGAGTGTAATTTGAGATTCTGAAACACACATCTCCCTATAAGGCTGTTGTGTATTTTTGCCTGATACTTCTAATGCTGCCTGATCTCAGGACAGGCAGAGAACCTCTAGCATAGCAGCCAAACTGAAGAAAACTTGCTGCTTCAGTTTTGACTTATGGAAGACTATTCTCTTCGCAGATTTTTGCAGTTCAAGTGGCAGCCCTTCTTTCCAGCCCATCAAAAGCCACGTAACCATTCCAACAGCCCATGTGATGCCTTCTACTTTGGGGACCTCTCCTGCCAAGCCAAATTCTACACCTGCTGGACCCTCTTCTTCCAAACTTCCTTTGTCAGGGTTGGCTGAAAATGTAGGGATGACAAGAAATGGAGACCTTGGTGCAATGAAACGTTCTCCAGGTCTGTCTAGAGATCTGATGTATCTCTGTGGTGCTGCTGGAGAAAATGGAATTGAACAGTCATGGTTTCCAGCAGTGGGCCATGAAAGAGAGAAAGAGGTGAAGAAGTTTGATATTCCCAGCATGGAGTCTACCCTCAATCAATCAGTGATAATGGAGTCACTTTATTCAGATCCCCACTACCGAGTCCACTTCCACAATCCAAGAGCTGACACAAAGAAGGAGTTGTACAAAGTGTTGCCTGAGGCCAAGAAGGCACCAGGCAGCGGGGCTGTATATGAGCGGAATGGACCACACCCTAGCAGCAGTGGGGTGCTTCCTTTGGGACTCCAGCCTGCTCCTGGGCTCTCAAAACCTCTACCGTCTCAGGTATGGCTGCCGAGTCCTGACCCTTGGCATCCCCGTGAGCGATCCTGTGAACTCAGCACTTGTCGACAGCAGCTGGAGTTGATTCGTTTACAGATGGAGCAAATGCAGGTAGAGGCTCTTCTTTCTTTGGACTTTGTAGTTTCTGTGCAGACCTTATAACTGTATAACCTTTGTCTTACATATTTTGGCTCTAAAGAAAATATTTGTAAGAATGAAGGAAATTGAAGCAAATGAAGACTATAGGCTAATGACCGTTCAATGTGTTGGTAGTCTTAAATAAATACCAGATAGGTTCTCTGAACTAGAGGGTTACGAGGGAGAAGTAGAATACTAACACTGATTGTGTACTTACTGTGTACCAGTCACTGGACTAGGTATTTTCACATACTGTCTTATTTAATCTTCACAGCACCCTGATGAGATAAATGTACAAACTTAATTAGGTCCTTAGAATAAGTAATATGTCCAGAGTAAGTGGGAAAAAAAGCTGGGAAGTTGCAGAGCTGTGGCTTAAAAATCATCTTTAACCCCTGTGTTATTTCCACTATACATCATTTTTGTGTTGAGAACAAAACAAAACACCCACTGATCACCTTTCATTCAAACAACAGACAAACCTATAAAGTAAACAGTAACACTCATGAGGAGTGTACTCTTCAGAACAATTAACCATGCGAGACCAAAAGGGCAGCATTTGCCCCAAAACAAAGCTCAGAAGGCAGGAAGGGGCAGGAAAGAAGGACGAATAGATACAGGGAACCCAGGGAGAAACAGGGAAGAGTGCTGTTACATTGGGGGAATTGCAACTAGTCTTACAAAAGAAAATGTGTATAAACTGTTGAATGGAAAACCAGTTTGCTCAGTAGACTTTCATCCAAACTGCGATTAAAAAAACAAAACAAAACAAAAAATGGTTTTTGTACTATTCAGGAGTGGGAAGGAAGGGAACAAAAGTACAGATTCTCCTCCCCTGGCTGGTAAGGACACCTTAGCTCCTGGTTTGCCTCTGTTGCTAGATAATGAAAGATAACTGACCTTTTCTTAGAAACTAGAGCCTTTCTGAACAGGGAGTGCCCAGTTGGCAGAAGCCTCCCTGGCAGGTTCTTTCCAGTCATGCATCAGAGCTAAAATTATTTCATAAACACTGGGCGTTCTCAGGTTGAGCCAAACTGGGTCTCATTATAGAATGGAGTACCACTCAGGTGTTGCCAGGTACCTGTAAGTCAAAATCAAGGCACCTCTCCAAGTTTGCTTGTCTTTCAGCTTCAGAATGGAGCCATCTGCCATCATCCTGCTGCTTTTGGTCCTTCACTGCCCACCTTGGAGCCAGCACAGTGGATCAGTATCTTGAATAGTAATGAAAACCTCCTAAAGGAAAAGGAGCTCCTCATTGACAAGTAAGAGGGCAAGGGAGGCCACAGGACCAGGCTCTGCTCTCTAACTCCCACTGAGGGCACCTATCGAGGTCCTCCCAAGGCTAGTGCATGTCCCTCTGCTTGTACCCAAGGTTTGTCTCATGGTAGAGTTGAGTTGATAAGCAGCCTAGTCCTGTATCCAACTAATGTGAAAGGCTAATTGTGTTATTTCTGAAGTGGCCCTGTGGAATGCCTGAAGGGGGCAGCTGGTTCATTGTAGCTAATCTCTCCTCACAAACCCTCTGTCAGTTTTGTTATTTGCAAAACAGTGCTGTTCAGAATCCAGGGTCTTTGCTTACATAGTGTGGATTGCACTCATCTTAGGAAAAACTATCTAAGGAAAGTTATTGTGGAAGTGTGCCATAGAGTCAATTCTGACTCATAGTGACCTTGTTGTTCCCAAGGCTATAAATTTTTAAGGAAGCAGATCACCAGGTCTTTTCTTCCATGGAGCAACTGGTGGATTTGAACCATCAACCTTTTCGGTTAGCAGTTGAGAGCCTAACTTTTGTGCCACCAGGCCCCTTTGAGGAATGAAGGGGGGGACTTAATATTACAGTTGGGTTAGTGTCAGGACATTGGATCTAATTCTACTGCTTTTTCTAGGCAGAGAAAACACATCTCACAGCTGGAACAGAAAGTACGAGAGAGTGAACTGCAAGTCCACAGTGCCCTTTTGGGCCGCCCTGCTCCCTTTGGGGATGTCTGCTTGCTGAGGCTACAGGTAAACAGTGTCAGCCAGGATGGCATTCTGCTTATCATACCTCATTGCCTTCCCAGTGCTTGGCACAATTAGGTATCCAGAAGATACAAAAGGGACCAAGTGTTGTAAGTTGTCCCTTCCTCAAAGAGTAAACATCCTAATTATAAAGCACCCTTTGCTGTGCCCTTGTTGGGGTGGAAAAGGCTTGAGGGTAGAATCCTGATGCCTTCGTGTCAGGACATACTTAAGAGAGAAGGAAGGCAGAGCAAGGAATGATAGTGTGGCCCTAGAGTAGGGTGATGTTCTGAGAAGTTGTGCTCTGCTGGTTCTGGCCAAATGGAGAAGAGGCAGAAGTGGGGAATTTAGAGCCATTCTCATTTTCATTTCTTCATATATAGTAGCAACTGAAGGAAACCATATACTCACCAAGGTAAATGGCTATAGTGGTTGAGAGCTGGAAAAGAGGCCTGCTTTGTTGACCAAGCTGCAATTTGGGCTTTTGAGTGCCTGGGTATTAAAACATAGCACTGGCTTTGTTACCTCCGGGGCCTGTTAAAGGAGCTCTGGTGGCATAATGCCTAAGGCATTTGACTGCTAACCAGAAGGTTGGTAGTTCAAACCCACCAGCCACTCTGCAGAAGGAAGATTGGGCAGTCTACTTCCATAAAGATTTACCACCTCGGAAACCCAAAGGGGTTCCCTGTAAGACTTGATGGCAGTGAGTTTGGTTTTTTTGGTTTGGGCCTATTAAGATAGTATTCCATCTCATAAAATCATAATGTTAAGAGTAGGAAAGTCCCTTAGATAAAAAGTCTAGTTCAGTCCTCTAATTTTACTGATGAAAACATTGAGGCCCAAGGAGGAAGAAGAATCTGGCTAAAGTCATAAGGAAAAATAGTAGAAGGGGACCAGGCCTTGAGCCCAGGTCTTCTGATAATGTTGTCCTATATTCCTGAAAGAATTGGCCAGGGAAAACCTTGTGAATAGCAAAGAAACACTGTTTGGTGCATTACCGTGCACCTTTAGGAATAGTCCGTTTAGGCTAAAAGGCTTGCAAAATAGGACTGGGAAAGAGCTACAACATCTGCGTAAACCCAGCCTTACTCATGAAAAAGAGAAAGCTTTCGAGACCTTCATTTGCTGATGTGGCACCACTCAAATTGAAGAGAAACAGCC